GAGGATGACTTGAGGCCAGGAGTTTGAGACCAGCCTGGGCAACATAGCAAGATCAGATCTCTACAAATTACAAAACAAAGGTGCAATGCGGTTCAGCAGCATGGAGTAATTGTTGACATTTTTTGTTTGTTTTCTTCCCTTTTTATACTTCATTAAAAAAAAACATGCGGTGTAGTTATAGGAAAGGAAGAAAATGGGTGGAAAGTGATCCTTGTCCAGATGAGTATTTGACAAGTGGTCAAAGAGGAACCAAAAGCAGTAAACAACAGGAGAACCACTTCTTCAACAGGCGAGGAGGAAAGAGACAATGACTCAGAATAATTCAGAGTTCCTCCCTTCACACAGCATTGCAAAAGAAATGGCACCTACATTCCACTGGTGAATGCTACAAACCAAATCGTTCTTTAAAAGTCCGTAAGAAATTAGATAGGATCATCTTATCTTGAAGGAAAGAACTTTCGAAGCTTAAAAAAAAGAGATTTGACACCTACTCAATGTCATATCAAAACTGGTGAATCCAAGTGAATAACTGGATGTGTGTGTTTGTGTAATACAAGAGCACTTCTACGCATTGACTCAGAAATCCTACTTCCTCACAGAAGCCTCCTTACATACTTGATCAGAAATCTGGACAAAGATTTACTATGAAGTATGTGCAGTGTAGTGAGAATTTTGAAGTACATTTAAAACTTCTGCTGTTTCAAGCAGGGGCTCCCTGAGTTCTGTTAGGAGCACACGATGGAGACTGTGCAGCCTTAGTCAGTTATCAATGAACCCTGTGACACCCACTGTATGCCTGTGGAGATCCAGACTCTGGCGACAAGGAATAAGAAGCAGATGTCCTGCAGACTGGCACAGTCACCACCTCAGTGCAGCTGCTCCATCCCCTGCAGTCCCCTGTCTCCCAAAGGCTTCATGTCCCCTTGGGCCAGGAGAACGGAGGCACTGCCATCTCCCACTGTCCTCAAAGTCCTGTGCAGGCAGCAGGCCAGGCATGGCACAGTCCCTCCTCTACTCACCAGCAGACGCTGTGGCTCCTCCGGTGACTGTACAGTTAGATCTGTTGGCTCTGCCGGCTCCTGACTTTTGATTTCCTGCTCAGAGACCTGGGTGGGATGCAAGAATCTAGTACTCAGGGTCTCGTTGCGGGCATTGTCCTCCGTCCCAGGAACTCGTGAAGGACGTGAACACCAGAAAAAGACCTTGGGAAGGCAAACGGCCCACTCAGGTCCACACCCAGGGCTCAGCTTCAAGGTCCCCAGTTGGCAGCTGGACCTGCCATCCCCAATCCCTCCCAATGAGGTCACCCCAGGCGGCTGAGGCTCAGCACATCCAGGACCCACTGCAGAGGTGGGTCAGGTGGTCACCCCATCCCCACGGGGCCAGCTGTGGAGTGATGGTGTCACCCAGGCTGCACGAAGGATGGGGCTGCAGCATGGCCCGCCAGTCTGTGTGCTGCTCAAAATGGCCATGTGTCCCCCACAGTCAGCCCAGATACCCCAGGCCTCGTCAGAGTCAGGGCAGCTATGAGGACAAGGAATTGTGCCCACCCGGGCTCGCCAGTGGATGGGAAGCAGTTCCTGAACCCATGAAGCCCCCAGTTTCTGGAGAAACCAACTCACTCTCTGCACACGTTCGGGGCCTCCTCCACCACCTGGAAGAGAAGGAGTCTCCTTAGCAGGCAGGGAGGGGCCCACACAGCACCTCCCTCCCAGAGGACAGCGGGGCGCAGGGGTAGGCTGGGGGCAGGGACACTGGACAAGGAGCCCTGGGGTGGGGACAGGAATAGGGCCTTGCAATTCGGGGACACCCTGAGGAAGGGGGATGAGAAGGGGAACTAGAGTAAAAACCAACACGTGGAAAATCTCCGTGTTCTGCTCTTACCAAAGCTGAATAAATCCCACAACCACTTCTCATCCTGACCCTTGTCACCCAGTTGAGGAGCCGACTGCCCCCTGCCTGGCTGGGCCTGAAGGTGGGAGGAACTGACTTTGCCCTCCTAGACTTGGCTGAGAGATGAGGGGACCCCCAGCCCCGAGAGAGGCGATGAGACCAGGGTCCTGGGGGATACACGGGATGTGGGGATGGGGCGATCACAAGGCGGAAGATCGAACCAGGCTGGAGACACTTGGACCAGGGGCAGGGATGGGGATTACTGTCTGTAGGAACAGAGTGGGAGGGGGCAGGGCAGACAGTGTCCAGCGCCCCCACCCTCAGCCAGCACCTACCTGAGCAGATGCTTTTCAGGTAAGAAATGAGTTCCTTCTTAAATAAAATTCAAAAAGCCGCAAACACCATGATGAAGGCCCCTGCAGGGATGCAGATGTGTGCAGAGATGGGTCGGACGTAACCGGAAGAGGCAGGAGTCCCCAGGCTAGTGGTCACTGTCTCCTCCGCCGCTTCGGTTTTCTCCGTGGAACTGGCAGCTGATGCACTGCAGTTGATGTCACTCCAGGGCGTACAATCATTGACCATGACCATCCCTCTGGGACACCTGGGTACACACAGGGAGGGAGACGGGGACTCCTGATGGAAAGCTGGCCAGGTGAGATGAAAGAGGAGCCACCCTCCCTGCCCAATGTCCTTGAGAAGACGTCAGAGGGGGACAGGTTCCTCGTGTCTGCAGGGGGTCCCCCTATGCTCCCTTCTTGAGGCTGGGGAAGGGTCTGAGCATGCGCACTTCAGCCCCTCAGCCTCCCTGCTCTGGGGTCAGAGCTGCAGCTCCAGGACACGGAGCTTCCCTGGGCTGCAGTGGAGGCTGCCTTAGGAGGAGCCACACTCTAGGGGAAGATCACAAGCCCCTGTGGCCACAAGCTGAGCCCCCTCCTCCAGTTAACCCACAGTACGAGTGAGCCCTCACCCCACCCTGTCTGCTGCTGGTTCCTCCCAATCACAGCAAACAGTGGAGGGCCAGAGAAGACAAGTTGCTCTTTGCCCCTAAAACCCAAATAGGAAAAAGAAGGACTTATTGAGAAGTCAGGGGCCAGGAGTGAGGCCGGCGGGGTGGGCTCGGGTCCTCATGGGAACTTAAGGGAGCTCCACCCACAGCCTTATTATGATTTTTGTGAGCTACAGGCACTTTTTCCTTCATGGGTTCCCGCCTGCATAAAAAATATGAAACATTACATTTCTTAAACCAATTTGGAATAAGGACAAATACAAGCCACACTGGATCAAGTGTTTCTTCTGATTTCAAAGGAAATCTCATTTCCTAGATTCCCTGAAAAGGTTCAAGGGACCTAGAAAGTCACCTCCTGTGCCCAGTGAACAATTCAGCCTGGCCAAAGGGACTCGTGCTGGGGAGGGAGGGATGGGTAGGAGCTGCTGCAGGGGGTAGGGGTGGGACAGGCAGATGGACCAGGAGGGGCCACTGCAGGCTCAAGAGACCCCAGAGGCTCAGGGATGCCTCATGGGGCTGGAGGCTCCATGGGGTAAGCGGAGAGATAGGGGTACCAGGTGACTCAGATCTTCTCAGGTTCCTGACAGCTGTCGGGAGCCCCTTGGCTGCTGTCTCACCCTGTGCTGCACTTTCGACACATCTCGGTGGAATTGCCATTGCGGAAACTTCCTGCTTTGCACTGACACACTGTGTTGCTGGTCGTGGTGCAGGGACTCATCTTTTCTTCATCTGATGACAGAGCACAAGGTTTTGGGAATGTGTTTCCCTGATGTTTCTCTTGACCCTTCCTCACCACCCCAACCCCCTCCCCCTCAGCTCAGCTCAATTCAGTTCGCCAAGGAGTTCTGAGGGCCGGTTTCCGCGCCAGCATACTCAGGGCTCACACAGGACACCCACCCTGTACATAAGGACCAATACAAAAGGTCCGTGATTCATTATTTACTACATCAGATTAGGGAAAAAGCACCATTTAGATGACATGGTCAGTAGCAAAGGAGGCACAGGGTATCATCTGAGAGACTCTGCAAGGAGAGGAGCCCTTGGGTGACTTCCCAAAAAACCAGCCTGCTGGGGAGGTGGTAGAGGCCTGAGAACCTGAAGGCTGAGCAAGCCCGAGCACCTGCCAGGAACACAAAGCCCAGAGAAGAGAGCCTGGCCACAGAGCACACCCGTGCCAACCCTAAAACTCAGCCCCATCCACTAAGCCAGGACTTCTCTGTGCTGTAATGATGCCCCCAGCTCCTTGTAGCCAATAGTTTAGAAGATTTCCCAGCCAGGTGGCATGCATCATAGAAAATATTTCTTTCTATTTTTGTTTAATCAACCAAAGTCATAATCATGAAACAGGGTGATGAAGACCAAGTTGGGCTGGAACTTGGTTCCCTGACTCATGTCGGCTACAACTCCCACCTCATTCCTGCACTCCACCTCTGGACGAGAGGTTCTGTACCTGATTTACAAACTGCACATCCGATGCAAGAAGGCAAATTGTTGGAAGCATTGGTGTAATCCACACCCTTTATGCATGCGTTACAGGCTCCAGTAGGTTCTGATCTATGATATCCTGGGAAGGGAGAGAAAAGCCAATGAATGGGTCACCGCAGAATTCCCAGAGGCTGAGAGTGGTGGGGAAACTTCTCTTTTGGCCCTCAGTGGAATCCAGAGAGAGAAATCCACTCTTGTCATCAATTCTGCATCTATTACATACCTTTGACTGGCACTACTGACAGAAATATAATACAAACCACATAAGAAATTTAAATTCTATGAGAACCATATTAAAGTGGTAAAAAGAACGAGGTCAAATTAATTTTAACAATCTATTTTTAACCTAAAATATCCAGAACACTACATTTCAATATGTAATCAATACAAATCTTTGAAATATTTTACTTTTGTGTTTTTGTTGTTCTTGTGCTGTTGTTGTTGTTTGGAGACGGATTTTGGAGATGGAATTTCACTCTTGTTGCACAGGCCGGACTGCAGTGGCACGATCTCAGCTCACTACAACCTCCACCTCCCAGGTTCAAGCGATTCTCCTGCCTCAGCCTCCCGAGTAGATGGGATTACAGACACCCACCACCACGTCCGGCTGATTTTTTGTAGTTTTAGTAGAGACAGTGTTTCACCATATTGGCCAGGCTGGTCTCAAACTCCTGACCTCAGGTGATCCACCCGCCTGGGCCTCCCAAAGTGCTGAGATCACAGGCATGAGCCTCCACACCACACCACACTCAGGCTTTTTTTTTTTTTAACAATAAAATAAAATAACAAAATAAAATCCAACCTCGTCTACATGTGACCTGCCCATGCTGGTCCACCTGACCTGCTTGCTGTCCACTCACTATGGTGGCCCTGTCTTTGCTCAGTATCCCCCAGCCCCGGCACCCTGCGGCTCTCATTCCCGGGGAGGCTGCTCAGGAGCACTATTTCTGGCTCTCTGCACAACTATCCCTGTCCAACTTTGGATACTGGCCCAAATCACCATCCTCGAGAGGCCCCACCAACCTCGTCTCGGTCTCACTCATCACCTGATTATTCTTCATGGTTCCTATCAGGAATTTCTGACTGTTATTTTGATCTGTGTATCTTAACACTATCCCAGAGAAAAGGTTCCATGAGGGCAGAGCCTCTTATAATTATCCCCATTAGCATGGTGCCTGACTGACAGAAATCATCCAACGTATCCCTATGGAATAAAGAACCAGAACGTGCAGGAGACAGAAGTCTGGAAGGACATAGAGATAAGGGCATGATAAGCTAAGATATCAGTCTTAGATTGTGCCTTCAGGCTAGCACTACAGACCCAGGATCCTGACCCAACTCCACAGATTCAGCTTCCAGGTCTGCCCTAGTGCCACGTCAGTCCCCATGAACTCAGGCTCCAGGTCCTTGCCTGTGGACCCAAGGATGAGGCCCATCACAGCACCTGGCTGATATCTGCAGACCCAAGTACAAGGCCTATTCCAGTGCCAGTTCAGCCCCCATGGAGCCAGGCCTCAGGTCACCTCTCTGGATACAGGCTCTGACCACCCTTGAAACACGCCACATGGCCTGTCGAGAATCTGTGAACAGGCCGACTGGTGAAGGGAGTTCCCTGACAAAGCCAGTCTGTAGATACTGCAGTTAATCACAGATTCATCAAAGTGCACATTCGAACACATTGCCACAGGTTCCTGAGCAATCAGGGAACTGTGATGGCATCAAAGAAACAAAATGAAGCACAAGTAACCAACCTGAAACAGACAGACATTTACAAGAGCCTGACAAAGAATTGAAAATACTCACCTTAAAGAAGCTCAGTCAGCTACTAGAGAATACAGATGGACAACTAAGTCATGTCAGAAAACAATACATTATCAAAATGAGTAGTTTAATATATAGACAGCATAAAAAAGAACCAAGTAGAAATTCTAAAATTAAACAACACAATATCTGAACTAAAAAATTCCACAGAGAATGTCAACAGCAGAGTTGATTAATCAGAAGAATCAGTGAGCTTGAAAACAGAGCATCTGAAATTACTAAATCACAAGAAGAAAAAGAAAATAAAGAATGAAAAAGAGGGAAGAAAGCCAACAGTACCAATGGTTACCATGAAGCAAAATAATACATGCATTATGGTGGTCCAAGGAGCATCAGAGAAAGAGAAAGGAACAGAAAGTGTAATTAAAGAAATAACTAAAGAAAATGTCCCAAATCTGGATGGGAATGGACATCCACATTCATGAAGCCCAAAAAATCCCAAACAGATTAAATATGAAGAGATCATCATCAAGACACATCACCACAGCATCTAGTGGATCCACATGTACAGTGCAAATTGAAGTTTTAAGGATTGCTTTTTAGCTATACTGTTCCACAAGAAGGATAAGCCTCCATTTGCTTTCTCTATGCCTTCTGTTAATCAGAAAAGGCCTGCTTCTCATTGTCAATGGTAAGTTTTACCCTGCTGTAAATAACCAAAGAAGCAGAGGCTGAGTTAGAAATGCTTCAGCAAAAAAAACAAAAAAAAAAAGGGGGGGGGGCCAAAGGGGCCTTTGCTTCTGTTTCAGTAGATTTAGTAACGTAGGGGTGAGGGTATGTTTCTGTTTTTGCAGGAGATGAACAAACCATGTGGGTGCCCTCAAGATGTGTAAGACCATGGAATGGGAGACTAGAGGGATCCATGGATCCCAACCATGGACCGGGTTCCCCTAGTATGAACCATGCTGAGAAACTGCTGGAGCGCCAGGGTTTTACCTTTTGTTGGGATTCAGAGGTACAACAGATGCTTAACGGACCAATGCTTTCACAAAATGGGGAAAGGACAGCCTCTTCAATAAATGGTGTTGAGAAAATAAGTTATTGACATGCAGAAGAATGAAATAACACCCTTATCTCACATCAGATGTAAAAATTAACTCAAAATGGACTACAGATTAAACATAAGGCCTGATACTGTAAAACAGGGGAAAAATCTTCAGGACGTTGATTTGCACAATGATTTCTTGGCTATGACCCCAAAAGCACAGGCAACAAAAGCAAAAATAGATGAGATTACGTTAGACTAAAAAGATTCTGCACAACAGAGGAAACAATGAACAGAGTGAAGAGACAACCTTTTACTGATGTATTATCATTTTCATTATTTTTTCTACATGTTTTTGATCTGTGTTGTTTGCAACCATGAATGCAGAACCTGCAGATGAGGAGGGCGAAGAGGGCTTATCCCAGGGCTCTGTATCCGTACAGCTGAAAATTGCTGAGTAGATTTTTAAGTGTTCTTACCACAAATACATGATAAGTATGTGAATTAGCTTGATTTAGCCATTCCACAATGTGTACATATTTCAAAACATCATGGTGTACACCATAAATATATACAATGTTTATCTGTCAATTAAAAATAAACTGATTTTTAAAAATAAAAGTGCACCTGCTGAACACTTCTCCTCGAGGCTGCGCCTCTGTTGCTGTGAGGCCACTGGCGGCGGGGGAACTTCATCCTGCCGGGAGATGGTGGCAGAGTCAACTTGGACCTATGGGGACAAGGCAGAGATGGGCGTGAGTGGTTTCCAGACCTTACCTCTCCCAGGCTCCGTCTCATATTCCCTTCACCCCAAGTGACAAAACCCATCAGAGCTTGGACTTCTTTCCAGCTCCAAACTTTCATTCTTTTGCATCCATGTTTGTCCCTTGGCCTGTTAGGGCAGCTATTTTCTATAAAGAAAAACACCTCTGTATCCTTTTCTCATATTATAACATAAAATAGCTTTACCCCAGGAAATGTGAGCAGAAGAGTTATTTTTATTTTTTATTTTTTTGATAGAGTCTTGCTATGTGGCCCAGACTAGAATGCAGTGGCTAGTCACAGGTGTGATCATGGTCCACTACAGCCTGGAACTTCTGGCCTTAAGTGGTCCTCCTGCCTCAGTCTCCCAAGTAATGTGGATAACAGGAACACACCACTGTGGTTGGCAAGAAAAGATTTTATAAGAATACAAAAGGCCGGGCGCAGTTGCTCATGCCTATAATCCCAGCACTTTGGGAGGCCAAGGGGAGCGGATCATGAGGTCAGGATATCGAGACCATCCTGGCTAACACAGTGAAATCCCGTCTCTACTAAAAACACAAAAAATTAGCCAGGCATGATGGTGGGCGCCTATAGTCCCAGCTACTTAGGAGGCTGAGGCAGGAGAATGGTGTGAACCCGGGAGGCAGAGCTTGCAGTAAGCCGAGATTACGCCACTGCACCTGGGCAACAGAGCGAGACTCCACCTCAAAAAAAAAAAAAAAAAAAAAAAAAAAAAAGAATACAAAAAACAGATGAACCCTTCAAGCAGAAATAGCATCTAATATATTTAGTTTGATCAAGTGTTTAATTTACTAGTGGGTGAATTCTGTCTCTCTTTCTCTCTCTCTCTCACACACACACACAAACACACACATAAAGATACACAGTTTTACAAATGAGGGTTATAATATAACCTTAAAGAAAGTCAGGATATAGCATCCAACATTAAGTAATTTCTGCATTACAAAGGACTTTGACAAGCTGTTCCCACTAAATATCAAAGAGTAACACGAAAAGATGAAACAGCAATTCAGGGATTCTGGCCATGATCTGTGTGTTTTAAATGACAACAAGAAGACAACTGGAGAATCAGAACAGAGTCTGCTTATTAGATAGTGGTAACGTGTTGATGTTAATTTCCTTGCTTGTAGAAAGTACACAATAAATAATTCAATAATAGCTTTCATCATGCCAACAGCTATTTTTCAATTTTTTGTGTATAGTTTTTGTAACTTTTAAGTTGGGAGTGTTTTAAAGTACAAAATTAATTTAATTGTAAACTTACATTTAATTAAATTTAATATAATCTTGCTCCTGAGCAAAAACAAAGTGGTTACAACAAAAGCTACTTATGTTGGGCTCTGTTCAACTGCCTGGATCTAAACGAGACAAAATGTAGCTTTCTTCCACATTAAAGCCTGTCTAGTAGTTGGTGATGGTGAAGCTAACGCATGTTTCCCAAATCCTTCCTTCTCGGGCTACGGTCCCTCTAGGTTCAGGCGATGCCTCTGTCTCCTTTCTCTGCTCTCACACTCTTACTCCATTTGAAGACCAACTTTGCATTTTGTCAATTCTTTTTTTTTTTTTTTTTTTTTTTTGAAGACGGGGTCTCTCTCTGTGATCCAGGTTGGAGTGCAGTGGCGTAATCTCTGCTCACTACAGCCTCTGCCTCCCGAGCTCAGGTGGTCCTTCGACCGCAGTCCCCAGGTGACAGGGACCACAGACAGGAGTGTGCCCCAACGCCTGGCGAATATTTGTGTATTTTGTACAGCTGGGGTTTCACCACGTTGCGCAGGCTAGTCCAACTCCTGAGCTCAAGCGTTCTGCCTGCCTGGGCCTCCCAAAGTACTGGGATTATAGGCGCAAGCCACCACACACGGTCCGTTTTGTCAGTTCTTTTTGTGGTCAGTATTCTATTTCCTTGATTTATAGAATCAAGTATAGAATCAAAGTAACCTTGTTACTTTGTTTGGTTTAAATTTATGCTTGTATTTTATAATTGATTAATGCAGATCTTCAGGCCATACATTTCACATTTTTTTCTTTTTTTGACAGCTTTAATGAGACACAATTCACATAATTAGTAATTATGATGATTCATATAATTCACCCATTTAACGTCTACATTTCAGTAGTTTTTAATATACTCACAGCTATGCAATCATCGCTATAATCAACCTTAGAATATTTTTATCACTCCACAAAGGAACTGCATACCCTTTGGTAGTAACTCCCCATCTCCCCAACCCCCAATTCTTTAACAGAAACATTGAAAGCTGTATTATTTCACCCTGAGCACTGTTAGCAATTTCCAATCAGTTTTGATGTTATATTGTTGTTATTATTTATTTTAAAATATTTTACCTTCCCTTTTGAATTCTTCTCTGAACCACAGATTTTTTTAGAAATGTGCTGTTCAATAACCAAATTTTAGAATTCTCTATGGATACAGTTACTGATTTCCAGTTTCATTTCATTAAGTGTAGAGATCATATCGTGTGTTTTATAGCCCAGAACCTGGTCTATCTTGGTGAAAGTATCATGAGCATAGAAAGGAATGAGTGTTCAGTGGATGTTCCACTCCTGCTCTTTAAATGTCAGTTAAATCAAGGTGGTTCACGGTGTGCAGGTCGCTTGCCACTTTACTGGCGTTTTCATCTGATCGTGCTACCAAGTGCAGAGAAACAGCTGATTTAATCTCTTTTTAATTCTGTTTTTGCATCATGTGTTTTGAAGCTGTATTACTAGGCATATACAATTTGTGATTATTATTACACTCCTTGAAGAATTAACATTTTTAACTACAAAGGTCCCTTTTGATCTCCCTTAATATTCTGTGTTCTAAAATTGTTACAGTAGGTAGCTAGTCAGGTATGACCAGGGCAGAAGAGGGCTCCCCGCTTCTGACACCAGCAGTGTTGGGCGACCATCAGGTGGTTGATAACCGTGTCTCTAAAGTAATAACTGGTTAAAGCTGATGCCAGTAAAAGGCAGTCTCCTAATACATAGAAAACACCTGAAACTGATCAGCAGCTTCCCAATGAGATTTCAGGAATGGGGAGAAGTAAGGCAAGATTCTGTAAGCATGCCAACCTATAAAACCCCGACTCGGGGGGCCAGCTGTGCGCTTAGTTGCTCAAGTCACCTGCTCGGCCATCTTCCAAGTTGTACTTTCCTTCTTTTCTTTCTGTTTCTTCATTTCCTTCCTGTTCTAAAGCTTTTTAATGAATTTCCACTCCTGCTCTGAAACTTGCCTCCGTCTGTCCTTCTGCCTTATGTCCCTCAGTCCAATTCTTTCCTCTCAGGAGGCGAAGAGCTGAAGGTGCTGTGGACTGGTACAGATTCGCTGCCTTCAACGTAGGGTAACTCGGATCTCGTCCACCGCTAACAAAATCAACTTCATCTGATACTGAGATAGCCACGGCAGTTTTCTTGGCCTTACGCTCTGCATGGTGTATCTTTTTCCACCTATTTGCTTTCAACAGACAGCATCTGTGTCTTCCTTTTAAGTCCCATCTCATATAGACAAGTTATAGCTAAGTCTTATTTTTTTCAGCCCTTCAAACCTTTTCTACCTTTGAACTGTAGTACCCAGTGGATTTACAGTTAGTGCAATAATTGATATCGAAATAGACCTGTAAGTTTACTATTTAAACTATGATTGTCTAGTCTAATGTTTTTACTCCTTTTTCCCCCGCACATTTTAATGTTAATTACCTTTTAGAATTCCATTTTAATTGGGTACTGACTTTTTATGCAACGTATTTCCATGATCTATGTGCAAGTGCTATAGGGAATACAGTATACACTCAAGTGTTCATATTCTATTGAAGGTTTTTTAAAAATAGATTTATTGAGGTATAATGGATATGAAACAAAGTGTACATTTTTGAAGCATGTAGTTTGGTAGACTGAGATGTATGTATACACTGTGGAACTACCGCCACAATAAGACGACACGTCTACCGTCCTGCAGTGTTTCTTCATATTTCAATGTAATCCTCTCTTCCGCTTTGCTCCTATGTCCCCAGCAATGCTTCTTCTGCTTTTTGTCACAATACATTGGTTGCATTTTAATATGATGAGGAATCAAATGGTATGCATTCTGCTTGGGTTCCTTCACACGACATGATTTTCTGTGTGTGTGTGGTTTTTTGGTTTTTTGTTTTTGTTTTATTTTGGTTTTTGTTTTTTCTGAGACAGCATTTTGCTATGTTTCCTGGGCTGGTCTTGAATTCCTGGGCTCAAATGATCCAACCACCTTGGCAGGACTACAGATGTGAGCCATCACACCTGCCCACCACCCTGGCCCATTGACTATTATTAATTAAAGGCTATTGAAAAACAGCAGCTGCAAGAAGATCATTTTGACCTCTTTTGTGTTTCCTAAAAGCAGGAGATGAAAGTCCCCAGGGAAACATAGGACAATCTCCTTATTCTTAAGGATGAGAAGTGGGAGCCCAAGAGAATACTCTGCAGACCTTGTTAGAATAGAACCACTCATCTTTTTAGCCTCCACACATTTACTTGCTTCTTCACAAGTTACTTGGTCTAATTCAGTATATAACTGACTCTCATTGCTTCTTCTGTGCCAGGTAAAACTTGCATTAAATAAATGTGTGTGTTGACCGGGCATGGTGGCTCATGTCTGTAATCCCAGCACTTTGAGAGACCAAGGCGGGTGCATCACCTGAGCTCGAGTTCGAGACCAGCCTGGCCAACACAGTAAAACCGCATCTCTACTAAAAATACAAACATTACCTGGGCGTGAGGAAGGGCACCTGTAATCCCAGCTACTCAGGAGGCTGAAGCAGGAGAATGGCTTGAATCTGGGAGGCAGAGGTTGCAGTGATCTGAGATTGCACCACTGCACTCCAGCATGGGCGACAGAGCAAGACTGCATCTCAAAAAGAAAGTAGTATGTGCTTTCCTCCTGTGTACCTGTCTTATGTCAACTGAATTCTCAGACTCAGCCAAAATAAAAATCCTGTCAAGGGGAGCTTAGCTTCCCTCCATGACTCTCAATGGTGACAGTAACCAGACATCATCCTCCAGGCCAAAAATACCATATCCTATGGCCTTGCACCAGCACGGCCTCCCTCCAGCACAGCCTCTCTGGAGGAGGGGGAGGCAAAGGTGGTGAGATCTCATGTCTCTATCATGCTACCTCCTATTAGTTATATGATTCCTGGTGTCACCTCACCCACCACACCGTGGGCTCCAGGGAACAGGATTCACATGGGGTTCGTCTGTCCTCCCTGGCTCCAGCAGACTCCAAAGACAATAAAGGGTTCACTGTCTATTTCCTGGGTGAATCACTTTCCCCCCAAGCCCATGAGGTGAACACAGTGGCGGCCTTGGCTCACCACCTAAGGACAGGCTCCAGGCTGTGGCACAGAGAGGGGACCCCAAAGAGCCGTGTGGACTCTGCTGAGGACCCACAGGAGCTCCCAGAGGCCAAGTGCAGGACAGAGATCAGAGAAGCAGCTGCTCAGAGAACTCTAGCCCTGCAGAGGCCCAAATATGGCTGCCATTATACACAAGGTGAGGCCAAAACTGCTGGAGACATTGCTCCTGAATCTCATTTTGCCACTTGCAAGACAGGGAAAACGATCCACCCTCATCTCCCCGGGTTGTTAGGAAAATCCACTACCTGAAGATGTGCAGTTGCTGGCTGGGAGCAGGACACCAGCTGCCCAACAGCACAGGCTGAGGGCATGGCACTGTCCCCACTGTCCCCATCCCCAACCTGGAAGTTAGAGCCTCGCTGCCCTGCCACTCCCGGATACAGGACAGAGGACCGGAACCAGGACCGTGGCCTCTCAGTAGGGGCTGAATGAGCAGCCCTCTGCAGCCACCTGGATGGAGACCTTTCCTGCTCTCTCTTCGAACTCCAACCCAGGCCGGGCGCCCACCAGAAGGACAACTGGAAGCGTGGGAGGTAAACCAGGCTGTGGCCCTGCAGTGCCATCACTATCCTCACTTGAGGTCTAGCTCCTCTGTTCCTCGATGGCCCCTCCGCATGGCGCTCCACTCCAGTCTTCAAAAGCTTCCGTCCTAAGCTCAGGGAGCCGGTACTGAGGTGCAGGTAGGAGCAGGTGCAGCCTCTGCTGGGTGGAGGACATATGCCCTGGGGATCCAGAGTACTGAGTGACTGACACCAGCCCTGAGGATGTGATTTGTCCTCCCACACCTGCTAACACAGCCCTCTGAGGTTTACACAGGGCTGCTGAAGATCTTTATCTCCTCTTCACTTTACTGGCAGGAGCTGGGGCCTCACCAGTGTCACAGAGCTGGAGGGGAAGCACAGCAGGGCCCAGGTGATCCCAGTCTCCAATCTCAGGAGTCCTTGAGAGCCTCAGAGTCTGAGATTCTGAGCTGTTGGAACTTGTCACTTCCTCCTTTGATGAAGAGAGGGATGGCGTGGAAGGACCTGACACAGAGATTGGACCAGCCCAACATTAACAGAGCCAGGACCTCAGGTCAGGAACTGAGCTCAGCTCCAGGCTCATCTGATGTCCTCCTGACAGCCTGAGGATGGAGACCTTATCTCCAGTCAGAGGCATGGCAGCTGGCAGGGACTGGCCCCAGCTGACCACGGTTTTCCAAGTGCACAGCTGGGAATTTGGTCTTCCCTGCTGCCCTCCCCTGCTGTCTCATCTGGATCCCCCGATCATCTACTCCCAGTACCAAAAACTCCTGTATCCTTGAAAATTCCTAACACCATGAAGGAGTGAAAATGCTAACAATGTGATGAATCACGTTTTACCTCCTAGACTAGCAACGAATGAAAGCTAAGTGTAGCAAGGGTGTAGGGGCACAGGCACATTTGTGGACTAGGTGTGACCGTAAGCTGGGTTCAGTGGTTTTTTGGAGGAAAATTCGTGAACATTTAAAGAAACTTCTGAAGTGATTTATCCCGCAGAAGGAGTAGTAGAATTCAACTTGTAAGGAATTGTCCAATAAGCTGGTGCACATGGATATGTGGACACATGATACATACAAGGGTATTTAGTATAATGCTGTTGGAATTAGCAAAGGCAAAGTCAGGATGGGATCTAACCAACTTCCCCTAGGCAGCAACAGTGAATTAACCTGTGGCTTACCCATGCAGTAAAATACAATACCCTTGTTTACAGGAAGATCAATCTGAATGTACTGCCATAAAACATCTAATGTGATCTGTGTTAGCTTCAAAATTTTAAAAAGCGATTGTGCATTGAAATGCATTTAATAAGGCAAGACCGATGGAGGGATCAAAGGCTCCTTTGGGATGTATAGAGTTCACATTCCCAAAACTGTGAGATTCATGTTGCTGGCCTTATCTACACTGGTCATCCACACGTTCTCTCTTCAGGGCCACTGTCCTGACACAGCCATTCTTCTAGCTGCTTCAGGTAGGTCCACTCACTATAAACTATTGTAGAAGTCAGCTGTGTTATTTTTGAGAGGTGAAAATGTTACCACTTTTTGAATTTAGTATGAATTTGTTGAAAGAAAACATGCAAACTCTCATGGTTCCTATAACCTTGTTTTGTCCTCCCTCTTTTTGGGTATTATAGAAGGAGCCTTAGCTCTCTTGGGAGAAATGTCAATCACTCTGAGAAAGTCCTGGCAGTCTGCACATTTTATTTATAATATGTCCTTACTGCGCACCCCACCACCAATCTCAGTTTCCAAAGCCAACTCATAACAAGAACTTTACACCTTTCATGCTGAAGGAAGGGGCCAGCCTGTGGTCCTGCCTGTGGGATGCAGAGGGGACACACGGGTGACAGTGGAAGACACTGACTGCAAGCACCTTGGTTAACCGCTTCCTGCCACTCTCAGGGCAGAGGAAGTGAAAGTTGCAAAAAAAGCATTGGACAGCTTTTTCACTGGCTGTTTGTTAAACCGATCTCCAAGGAACACGTTTAACAATGTAAACATAGAGTTACCTTTTTTTTTTTTTTTTGGACAGAGT